AAACCAAACTGAAAAATTCAGAAGCTTACACGAAGGCTTCATATCACTTCAGTTTTGTTAGAAAATATTATGTGAAACATATATATGATTCACATGTCGCACAGCCCCTATTCCTTTGGCAAGAATTTTTCCGAAATCATACTGCGCATTTCAGCGAATAGTCTCAATAAATTTAACAACTTTGTGCTATTTCAATGCTAGATGGGGGGAGATATATAGAATATCGCAGTATGTATTTTCTCAGGTGAATCAAGAGAATAGGCGCCTTCCCACTTTCTTCTTTTTGATTCTTCATGCTCACCGGGCAAGGAATTCCATTGTCCACTCGATAAAATTCAATATTTTCTCCACTATCAGGTAGAAAAGATAATTCGGGATACTGCTTTTCAACCGTTTCAACGATTAGAGGATCCGGCCTGTTCACTTGGGTAATAGGCTTAAGTTTAAGTTTAATAGGAGTCTTATTTTTCCTTTTTCTAAGGATAATTCTCCGTGTTTTTTGATGTCGTACCAGATCATTAGTTTTTGTTTGGTTTCAATAACTAAATTTTTTTTATTTTCTTTCTCAAATACTGTTATTTCTCTACTTCATCAATGATTTAATCGCCTTGTTCATTTTCTTCTAATTTTTTCTTTCCCTATTTTTTGAGGATTTTTCATCAGTTTCTAGATTTTCTATTTGGCGAATTGGTCAGTTTAATTCTTCCTTTCGGTTCGCTAGTTATTTCTTTCATTTGTTCAGTTGATAACCTTTAGAGGTTATTTTCTTTCCTTCAAAAAGATAGTATTGTAAAATAATTGCTTTCCTCTACATCGGTTCAAATTGCTTCATTTTCGATTACTCCTTTAATAACCCATATTTTCTTCGGCTTTTCTTCTTTTCTTCCTTTTAAGATTAAATTGTAATAGGATCTCCTTTGTGGTCACCACGCCGGACTTTTTTGCTTATTTTTCTTTCTATTTGTCCTTTAAATTTGTATATTTTTACCATTCTATTCTTCTTTTTTTAATTCTATGGTATTTAATTTCTCTTTTTGCTCTTTATGAGCATTTTATTGATTTCATTTGTTTTCTT